ACACTTTGCCGCAAAGCCTCTAATGCTTTCCTTCATTGTCTTGGCTCTTCTGGCTCACGCCTTACACAGCCAATGTCAAAATCTACTTCATCATAAACTAAACGTAATTATCCTGGCCGGCCAAAGCAACATGGCCGGGCGTGGCCAATGTCTCTTCGACGGGCATTCCGACATGGGACGGTGTCGTTCCTCCACAATGCCAACCTAACCCTTCAATCTTCAGGCTGAGTGCGGACCTGGCATGGGTTGGAGCCATTGAGTCAATCCATGCTGACATTGATGCCACGAAGACAGATGGGATTGGACCTGGAATGTCTTTCGCTAATGCGGTACTGACAAAGGACCCCGATTTTGGGCCGGTAGGATTGGTGCCGTGTGCCGTGGGAGGGACTAGCATAAACGAATGGCAGAAAGGGGAGTTTCTTTATGAGCAGTTGGTAAAGAGGGCTCAGATGGCGCAGCAGAGTGGAGGAGTTTACAGAGCAATGCTTTGGTATCAAGGCGAGGCTGATACAGTCAATGAAGAAGATGCTGAATTGTATGAAGGTAGGTTGAAGACATTTTTCAATGATTTACGTTCTGATCTGCACGCACCTATGCTCCCAATATTCCAGGTACCATTTGTTTGCATTGATTCTTTTCTTCATAAGTTTTGATTCATTAAAACCATAGGTAAAGATTGCATTCATAAGATTGCTTTAGAAGATTACAAGGCACGTGTAGTTTGTTAGGTTTTAAATTTGAGTTATTCCTTGTAGGACATTGAGAGGGGACAATAATAAACAAAATTGAAGTGAATTTGTATTGATAAACATACAAAGTTGGCTAAAGATTGGTAATGTTGGTTGCTAGGTGGTTCTAGCATCAGGAGAGGGACCATATATTGAGCAAGTGAGAGAAGCCCAGTTAAATGTTGGTAATGCTCAATCCCACATAGTGTTGGAAACACTATTGGGAATGGTATTTAAAGCTTGACATTCCACTTCCTTGTTGAGTGATAGAGAACAAGGAGGGCTCTCGCGCACCGTCGCCGCCGTCCGTCCCGTCTCGGCTCGGCTCGTGCTCGTGGTCGTGGTAATACACGTCTTTGACACGTCCGCGCGGATACTATCTTTTTAGAGAAAATTCTTGAGGAATTTCTCTTTGAAAGAAACAAATGGAAAATGTGAAAGATATCAACTGATATTTATAGGTTGCTGAGGACTGTTTGAATTTCAAATAATAACAGCTGAATTATTTTTTATCAGAACTGATTTACAGCTTTGTACAGAGGAGACAAGCTGTTAATATCAGGAGTTACAGGAGTTATTTGATTTAATTCCATGGGTTACATGATATAATTTCGGGAGTTATAACAGCTGAATAATGATACAATGAACCTAGACTATTTCTGAGTCAGGTTCATCTAGACGTTTCATCTGTTACAAATAAGAGGTTTAATCCTGAAATTTTATGGACGATTTTAACCCTATTTCTAGCCTATAAATAGAGAGCTATATTCAGCTTCTCAACTTACTCCAAAACATTCACAATTCACTTACAAAGTGTTTTCTAAAGTTCTCTCTATGAGTTCTCTCTGAGTGCTTTCCGATCAGAAGTGCAATACCACCAGCAGTCCACTCCGGTTTCGGGTGTACGGAATTCGGAGCGACCGTGTTAACCTCGGGGGACGGTCCGCCTACTGCAGCGATTACACACATCGAGACGAATTCGTTTCTAAGGCAGTGGTTCTTACCACGACACGGTTTACGAATCTGTTCTTCTTAATTACTGTTTATATTTTCAGTCAGTGCTAACGGTGTAGTTTTGCCGTTCATATATCCAACATTAAATATAGGCCTCCAAAATGTGAAATGCGTGGACGCTAAGGCACTAATACTGGAACCAGATAGGCTACATCTTACCACTCAGTCCCAGGTGAGACTCGGGCAGATGCATACCTTCGGTTCATCCCCAGATCTTTAACCACTAACAACGCTCCCCCCCCCCCCAATTTTTATACCTTTCTTACTCCGTTTTTAATAATTGCTCAACTTTTTACACGTCTCTGGACGTTCCTAACCTTCTGATAACATTGTCCTCCATATAACTTCCAAATATTGCCTTGTTTCCATTGCAGATATGTATTAAGCCCAAGGAGGGAGCAATTGTACACCCATTATTTTAGAAGAACTATTTAATTTAGTTTAGTGTATTGAGGAAGGATGGATAAAATAAGAAAATTCACCTACCAATTTTTTCTTTTTGAAAAAAAGTGTTAAAATTTTGGACTGTCTTTTAATTTCTAGATTCGTCATTAATTGTTTGTATGTGTTCGTAGTAACACAGGACAAGAAAAAAGAAATATTCATTTAGACTGAGAAAGAGCCTTGTGCAATTGCTGCCAGATCAATCTTGAGCTTATTATTCGATGATTAAAATGGGCCAGTTGTTTAACTTCTAACTCCAGTACTAACAGTGGTTTTCCAATGTGAATAAACTGACCATCGACGGACTAACAACCAACTTCCTGCATTAACATCGTTTTGTAATTGCACCAAACAAAGATTTTTTTTTACCAGTAAAACTTAACCCTATTAGTAGAGCTTGCTACATAGAGTTCCAAAGTGATGGAACTTTTTCTTTTTTCCATCAAATTCCATATTCTTTTCTGGTTTGTTTCATAACTGTTTGTTTGCATCTTTGGGTCTAAGAAAATTTGCTCTTCACTGAACTTATTACGAAAATTCTTAATTTATCCATTGTTCTTTTTTAGTAATAGAGGATTGTTCGTTTTTAGTGATAGAGGATATTGGGGTTGGGCTATTACGAAAATCTGTATGACATGGACTAGAAAGGATTCGGCCAGGCGCAACTATCAACATGTACGATTGCTTGGTAATGGGTATTGAACCCAACACAGCTCCTCCTGTTTGAGCTTTGTAACCCAAGCATAAGGGGCTGGCGTAAATGGATGGGCAAGAAATAACATATATTTGTTGTCTTCTACTCTCCTCTATCACCGTGCAATGCATCACACAAGAAGAATTAAATGGAGTGGTCAGAGTGTGGCATTATCTGAGCTTGGGAGTTGGCTCCCTCCCAGATGCCATCACCAACTTTCTTTCACCAATTTTGCCTGTCCTTTCACCTCCAACATAAAGAATGATATAAACCAATTCAGTGGATTCAGAATTCATGAAGCAATTAAACCAGTCACGCATGGAACGTGTATCCCCGCTTCTAATCCAAATCAAGGTCAATAGAGTGGGCCGCCTTCATCAATATTCCTCACCCCAAGGGCTCCTTCCTCTATACATATATCTGCTTTTCCTTGTTATTAAAGATACATGATTTTTGCATACAGGGTCGAAATACAGTATTAACTCATTATGACCTTTGTTTTACAATAATTCTCTGCAAATAATGAATGAGCAGTCTACTTTAACAGTTTGTTCTATAATACAATCAACCTACGTAGTGAATTATTGACTTAGCAATGAAATAGTAAAGAAAAAAAGGAAAGGCAGATATTAATTGCAAAGCAGCCCTTTGTTACTGGACTGATAAGAAGAGTAGATGTTGGTTGCATGTGCTGTGAAGGCCATCAATGTCAGAATCCGACTTTTCTACGCCTTATTGAAAGTGTTTTGTTTTATATTTCTGGGAGGCTCTGTTTTTCTCAGAACAATAATCTTATTGGAATTAACAAAGTCTAAAAAAAAAAGCAATTTCCATTTTTCCCCTTTTATTTCTATTCCCAGTTCCATCAACAACATTGCTCTCATTTATACTTAAATTTTATCTCCAGACTATGTTTCATTAGCAGCAAGGAAAATAGAATAAACAAATGCATGTGGTGTGTGCAGGCTTAACACCAGTATCACTAATATGCATGGCCCGGAAATAACTAAAATCCTTTAGGCGGTCCAAAATGGCAGAGACGAGTGATGCTAAGTCAGAGTCAACTAAACATGGAATCTTCCCCAGCTCTGTTTTAAGCTCTTTGAGCTTTGGGGCATTTAAATGGTATCAGTAAATCACAATGTCCATAAAACAAGAGATGTACACTGTCAAAACACATTTTATCTTCTTCCTCTTTGCTTTTGTTTTGTTTAATTTTATCAAATATAAATACACTGACAACGGTATCAGTATTTGTTTTTTTTTTAATTTTCAATTTTCATTAAAACCATCCAAATAGTACTTTATTTCATTACCATATTTAGTATTATTTCATCATATTATTGTGATTCTTTTATATATAAGAATTAAGACTACAGTTATCATAGACAGTGGCGCAGTTGGTATGATTCATGTTAGATGGATACAAATAATTAAAATATAAGTACATAGAGGATGCGGTTAATATGGGCAAAAAATATAAATGCAGCAACTTTATATTATTAACTTAGCCCACATTCACAACGCATAAAACAATTGTTAGATCTAATCATAAATGTCAGGCTTAGCAGATTAAGCAACTTGGTAAAAGAAAATAGAGAGCAGTGAATATTGCAGTATAATAAGCAATTCAGAATAAAACAAAATCATGACTCATGATTCCCCTTTAGTTTAGAAGGAAAGCACATAATAACCTGCTTCGTACCGTCTTTTTCTAATCTTCAACTGGTTTATTGTCTTATATATTACCTACAATTCCAAGTATAAATTCGAAGGAATGGTTTAGGGTTTTGATTAAAAAATGATGTCTCTTAACAGCTGTTGGGGGCTAAATTCAAAGGAAGGTGAGCTCTTCCAACGAGGTCAAACCTCCCAAAATTATTGTCATAAAATCTGAGTGGCCGACAACTTGTTCCTCCCTTCACACGCAAACAAAAATATATGTTGTGTACGCTTTCGGCCTCCCGCTCTCTTGGTCCATATTTGATTTCGCCATTGGAATTTCGATACATACACGTACAAAACTATACTATGTATTCTGATATAAACACACAACTCCCTATGTATTTCAATCATGTTCAAGTAAAACATAAGAACAATCTGGACGTAGTACGTCATAAATGTGGCATTTCTTTTTAAAGAAATTTGTTTACATTATTCTCATGAAAATAACAAAAAGACCCAAAGCATCAATGCCAAGGACTCTGCATTGTTATGTTCCTGAAAAACAAAACAACTTTCTTCCGGATAAAATGTAAATCATCTCTTCTTGCAAATTTCAACACCGATTGCTCTAAGGAGATTGTTCTAAAGATGAGTCTCGGTTGGAGTTTTGGTATAGGAAAATGCAGAGATGATGAGCGCTTTAACTTGCATCATAAGAAAAGAACAGCAATGTTATTGCGAAGACTATTTATAGTCTAGGAAAGGGTAAAAAAGACCGAGGAACTGAAGATGGAATTTAGCGCGGAATACTGAGAAAGTTTGGAGCATGGCTTGGCCTTTCCAGAAACTGGTCTTGTTGAATTCTGCTCTTCTTGGATTGAGGCTCGGGTGAAGAAGACAAAGATGATGTCACAGCCCAGGAATCGTTCGAATTATCTGAACTAAACTTCACATCCAATACGCCATTTGGGCTTCCCGGAAGGGTGCTAAACCTTCGTTTGTTTGATTGATTCCCTTCAGCTCTTGTTGTTGCTGATTCTATAATCAACTTACAGCATTCATCTACCTCGTCCTGTTCAAAAAATGGATCGAGATTTAAGAACCAGCACGAAATTTCCGTATTTAGCATTGGCTTAGAATTAGTGCTAACAGAGAAAACCCAAGATATATAAAGCAATTACCTTATCGATTCCCAGGATGAGTAACAGCTGGTTTTGGTATTCAACTCTAAGATTAGGTTCTACACAATCCACAGCGTGCAGCATTGTAGCAGTGGCCATTACAGAAGGAAGGTAGCACAAAAACCTAGAGTCTGCCCATGAATTTAACAAGGGCATCTGAGAAAACAGATGTACAAAATAGGATGCATCTTGTTTCTTAATGAAGATTATGAGGTGCATTCAAGTAGATTCAATTCTAATTACCAATTTGATAGATAAAGGAAAGTTTTTTTTCTTTTTCTTTTTTTGGTTTTGGTGCTAACCTGAAATGGCAGAGATTAGAATGCGGTCGCATCTCCTAAGGAATTCCAAACAAAGAAAGTCCTTCGATCCAAGCCTCCTTGCAATGTAATCAAGAAATGAAAGTGGGGTAACAGGGTTCATCTTCCATTGAAGTGTGGAAAGCACTAAAATCTCCATTCTTTTAATGGTTTTAGGCTCAAACACATACCTGCTCTCCTCCACCTAAACAGATCGATAAGAAAACGGGAACCAAATGAAAAAAAAGTAAAAAGAAATAACATATATACTTGTAAGTCCAGCAGGAGAGGCACTTGGGTTTCCTCCACTTTGGCTGCAAGAGAAAGACAAGCTACAGCAGCTAGTTGAGTCATCCATGGCTTGTCACTCTGGAACCGGAAGCTAAACAAGAATCTATCGAGATAGTTGACGCCAAGAACAGCAGTGAGGGCAGAGAAAGAGTAGTGGACATTGACTTTTAACATCCATTCCACAGCTTCACGCCGAGTCTCAGCTAGATTCCCATTGCTTTCAAGGACATCACACAGTTGATCTCTCTCTTCTTTTGAAAGTAGAGAAGAAAGTTCATCATCTTCCCAGGATAAGTCTTGTTCTAACAAGGCTGGAAAATGATTTGATTTATTAATCCCATCATTGTAATAACATCCTCCTGCTTCCCCAAAGTAGTATTCCCTGGGTTCTTCCTCCCAATTTTCTTCTAAACAACAAAGAGCATCAAAAACAAAACAAGAGTTGAAAGCCATTTTTCTCACTTTTTTTATTTTTTTTTTGTTAGCTTGGTTTCATTACAGAACAGAGGAGGAGATGAAGAGAGAGAGACCAAAAGACGGAGCTTGAGGCATCATCTCTCAATCTGTGTTTCCCAGGAAGACAAAAGAGGATTGTGGGTTTTGTATGTGTGTGTGGGTGGGCCGGGGGGGGAAGTGAGCAGTAAACCAAGGGACGTGTTTTAGTTTTGTGGGTTTGATGCAGCAAACAAGGACTAGTACTTTGAAAAGTTTTGAAATTTTCTTTTGTGGATTGTTTTTTGTAATTGGGGAAGAAGAATATAGGACTAGGACCCAGACCTACTCGACACGTGACATTCAGTAACTTGTATCTCTGGACGCCAACCTAAAGTCTAAACCCTTCCAATGCCGGCGTTTAAAAAAAAAAAAAAACCCGATGATCGATATATTTATCTATCTTACATCAAGTAGATTATATTTCTGGATTTAACACTCGTAGCAGTAAAGAGTACTTCATGTCTCGTGTTATATGTTGATTTGGCGTCACGTAGGTATAGAGCGTCCTCTGATCCGCGCTATAACTGTTTATCTGACACGTGAGATATAGCGCGGTAAAGAGAACGCGCTATATCTTTAATTACCCCCTAATCCTCCCTATAAATACTTATATCTTCTATTACTTTTATCACACCATATTCTCTTAAATTCTTTTAAATTCTCTCAAATACTCTATCTGTTTAAGGTATATTTTATAATATTTTTAATATTATATATTTAATTTATTTAAGTATTTTATTTTATTTAATATTTTACTAATATAATTTTTTTACAAATATATAATAGAAGACGGTCTACTTCTCGTGGATTAAAATCATATTCTCGACACTTTGCTGATACGGTAACATTTTAACGTTTTAACTTAATTTAAATTATTTGTAATAATTTGTTGATTTATTTAATGCATGATTATTAGATTAAGAATTAATTTGTGTAATTATTTAATTTTAGGAGAATGATCGTGTATTAGATCCTTTTATTAGGAATCTTAAGTTAGTGATACCTAGCCGTGTCTTGCCGTATTTAGTAGAGGCTGGATTTGATTACATAGGTAGATATCAGGGTCACTGTAAGATAGAACCAGACTTTATTTCTGTCTTAGTAGAGCGGTGGAGGCCGGATACCCACACATTCCATCTTCCGTGCGAAGAGTATTATTATCTGCACCGCAAAACTATTTTGACGTATGCTCCTGCTTTTTAATTTTACAAACACAAAAATTAATTAAAAATAATTAGTATAATATTTTTTCAAATAATCACAATAAACAATAAGTATAATAAAAAAATTATAATAAAATTTATAACGAAAAATCACATGAACTTCTAAATCAAATATGAGAAAATTATCAGAATTATTACTCGTTGACGGAATTGTTGTATTAATTTATAAGTTGAGAGGAGAGATGTGAGAAACTTAACCTGGAGTGAAGGGTATTTATAACCATATAAGGCGCGGTACCTGCACAACGCTATATGTAATTATTCAAATAATAGGTATAGCGCGGACCAGGGTCCGCGCTAAATATAATTCTGTCAGATACCCAGGTATAGCGCTGAACAGGGGCGGCTATATCCCTACGTGACGTATAGCGCGGATCAGGGGGCGCGCTATACCCACATGTAAGACATGTCAACATATAACGCGATACAGGGAGCACACTATATCCCACGTGGCGCCAAATCAGCATATAACGCGGGACAGAGAGCGCGCTTTACTGCTACAGGTGTTAGATCAAAAAATATAATCTGACCGATATTAGATCAATAAATATATCGATCACCGATGATTTTTCGAGAAAAACACCTTCAATGCCAATGAATTTTAATTTTTCTCATCTGAATTCTTATATTATATTCTATGAATTTGTATTGTACAGTTCCTTTGTTAAAGGTTTGAATGGGCCCCCGAGGGAGATTTTTTTTTCCTTTTCTTTCCATCTCTATAAATTTAGAAAATAAATTAAATTTTAAAAAACACAAAACAGAATTTAGTTTTTGCCTGAGAGTTCAGAGTAGTGCGAAGGATGGCATTGGCGTGTACACACAAAGACCCCAACACATGAAAAGAACGTCTGATTGCAGTGCCCCCAACCCAAAGAAATTCAACTGTTGAGAAACTCAAAAGGTACAACAGCAGTAGACTTTTTTAAATACATTTGCTAAGAACATAGGGTAATTTTATACTGTGGATCAGTTTTCGGTTTCTTAAATATATATATGTAAGTGCATGCACGATGATTAGCTGGATTTCATTTACAGTGTTTTGGAACTCGCACTGGTTGGACCTTGATACCAACATCCACAACGGGTATTATTATCAGCAGGAACCACAGCCACAACCATTCAACTTCCTATTCCATCCTTTAATTTGTCTCCATATTTTAATTATTATAGCTCTACTCTTTCTTTTTATTACTTATATTTGTTATTTTTTTTATAAATATCTCTGCGTATGATGCAAGGAGGAATATCATTTATGGTAGCCCCGCAAAAATGGCTGCGCTAGTACAATACAATTCAAAACTCATCCTTACATATATATAATCCAATTTAGGTTTAGTTTAAAATAATTAAAATTTAATATATAAAACTTTATTTAACTTAATTTTTAAAAATGTCACACGGGTTTGCTGTAATAAGACGGGCAAGTAGTACCGTAAAAGGATACAGAAAACAGAACACAGTTGTGTGGATTGAGGCATGCAGCCAAATATAATGAATGAAATAAATGGAGGCAGAGGTGCTAGAAATTCAAAAACCTGTAGCTTGCCTTCTTAAAACGAAGTGTGCAAGTTTGAGTAGGGGTATATGAATGTGATAATGGGGTGTATTAGTTTCGTCCCTGTTGGGTGTTACATCTGCATGTAGGGTGTTCCTTTTTGGTCTCTTAAATGAGGCCTCCATTATTAACAGAAATGTTACTATACAGAGTATGCATGCTTGGTTGCAGAAAGCCATGAAAAACATTCAAATTAATTCTACAATTTAAAAAAAAACATTTCCCCGTGTAATTTACTGCTCTCCAGCAGGATAACTCAATTCCTTTATTTTTTTTTTCTTTTTGGGTACAGGCAGTGGATTAATTATAGAATAATGAAGCCTGTTGAGAATAGAAAAGGAATATTTTTTCCAGGAGAAAATCGCCTCAGTGACCAAAAAAAAGTTATAATATACGATTTTAACCAACTTTTTTTGGATTTGCCAAAATGACCAACAAAATCGCAACGCGAAATAAAAATCGCAACGCGATCCCCAGAATCGCAAATCAGTTTCCAAAATCGCAACGCGATTCTTGAAAATCGCAATGCGATAGTACAAATTCGCATTGCGATTTTCCAAAATCGCAACGCGAATATGAAAATCGCAACGCGAACACATAAATCGCAACGCGTATCCGTAAATCGCAACGCGTATCCGTAAATCGCAACGCATATGGGTAAATCGCAAAGCGTATCCGTATATCGCAACGCGTATCCGTAAATCGCAACGAGAATCTGTAAATCGCAACGATAATCCGTAAATCGCAACGAGAATCTGTAAATCGCAACGATAATCCGTAAATCGCAACGAGAATCTGTAAATCACAACACTGAAATTTTGGGTATATAACACTGAAATCATAAACTAAATCCCTAAATCGCAACTCATTCCATCTCCATCTATCACTCTCTCCGACGACATCCGTTCCTATATCCAACGACATCCTTCCCAATCCGGCAACAGGTTTTAGTTTCGCAGCTCGTCTGTTTAGTAAATTAATTTACAACCATGAAATCATCTAATGTTGATCATGTTTGGATAGATTTGTGTTTTGGAGGGTCATGGGATAATGTTCATGGTGTTTTACAATATATGCCTTTACCCATGAATCTTCAACTAAAATTGTCTTTACAAAAGTTAACTTATGAAACTCTAATGCTACGTGTTTCAAATAAATTGAATTTAGAGCCCCTAAGTGGATTTAGGCTATTTTATCAGAGAAATGGTAAAGTTTATTTGTTAACCGACAATGAAGATGTTGAACGATTCATTGCTTACATTAGTGTTTCACAAGATGATGTTACATTGTATGTTGTTGAACCTAGAAGTAGTATTGTTGGGTCAGTAGCGGGTAGTAATCAACTAAGTTTTTCTCAAAACCCACAACCTTTCTCTAATCCAAATCCCAATCAACTTTCAGCACCAAATTCCGGTTTTCGTATTGACCAGTTAGACGATGATGAGCCAACAGAAAAAATTGTGAGTACTAGTCAGTATTCGAAATTTGGTCTTGGTCAATATCCGGACTTTGATATTGGTCAATACACGGATTTTGATGATGTTTCAGAAGAAGAAACAGACCATGTGTGTAATGATTTTCATATTGGTCAATACCCGAATTTTGATGATGAAACACCCGTTGCCGAGGAAGATGTTGTTGATGATAATGAGGAGGAAGTTACGACTGTGAATGAACATGTTGAACATCCATTCTGTAATTCATATAATCCTGAAGAAGAAAAAGAAGAAGAAAAAGTCCCCGAAGAAAAGAAAATGCCACGGGAGTATAACTGGAATATGCCAGAATTACTTCAGTTACCGGAAGAAGAGTTGGCAAAGAAAGCAGTTGATTGTTACACAAAAGTTATTCGTGTCAAGAAAGATGATTGTTTTGATACAAAGGAAGACTTGAAGATAGCTTTGTATACGAAATGTGTGGAAGATGGCTATCAACTAAAAGTTAACAAATCAAGCAAAGATCGTTTCGAAACAAGGTGTATGATTGACAAAAACTGTACGTGGCGTATGATTGCAAAGAGAATAAAAGATTGCAAAATGTTTCAAGTTAGGACTTTTATTGATAAACATACATGTTCAAGAACCCAAGTTTTTCCTCACCATAGACAGGCAAACAAAAAGGTGTTGGGTGGTTTTCTGGCTGAGTTAATGTTTTTGAATGGCAGGGTATATCGGGGACATGAAATTATGACTGACATGAATGCTCGGTTCAAGATTAGTATATCATATTCTCAAGCTTGGAGAGCCAAATGTTATGCCTTGGAATTGTTGAGGGGGTCGCCAGAAGCATCGTTTGCCCAACTGCCGGCTTATTGTC